AGGAGGCGGTAAGACAGCCCATGCCCTCACTATGTTGCTACTATAGCCAACACTCAGGAAAGCCTACATATGCAAGCTATCTGTATCAAAGATTCTTATAGGTTAGTCACCATAGTTCATTCAGATGAGAAAGAACCAGAAAAACAACTCTGAAAGTATGAAAAACAGAGTGTTATCCCACCATAGCGGCACATTAACTCCTCAACAATGGTCTTTAGCCAAAATGAAATCCTTGAAATGTCAGACCAATGAATTCAAAATGTTAATTATAAAGAAGTTCCATGAGATCCAAGACAAATCTGATAACCAAAACAAAGAAATAGTAGAGCAATTCTGCATGTGAAAGAATAAATTGACGTTTTGAGAAGACAAACAAAACTAAAAAACTCTTTCAAGTAAATACAAAACACAATTCAGAGCTTTAACAGTAGGCTAGGCCAAGTGGAAGGAAAAATCTCAGAGTTGGAAAACAAATTATTTAAATTAACACACACAGAAATAAAGAGAAAGTATTAAGAAGAATGAACAAAGCCTTAGAGAAATCTGGGAATACATAAAGTGACAAAATGTATGAATCATAGGCTTTCCAGAAAGAGAAGGTAAAGTAAAATGTATAAAAAAACATATTTGAGGAAAGAATTTAAGAAAACGTCCCTGGTCTTGTAAGAGATATAGACATCCAGGGTCAAGAAGCTTAAAAGAATCTTGAAAGATACATCACAAGAAGAACCTCACCAAAGCATACTGCCAACAGATTCTCCAAAGTCAACATAAAATAAAATATCCTAAGGGCAGCAAGAGAGAAGTGACTAATCACTCATAAAGTAAAAAACATTAGACTAACAGTGGACTTTTCAGAAGAAATCCTACAAGTTGGAAGAGAATGGGAACTTATTTTCAACCTCTTAAAAAAAATGATAACCAAAAATTTTATATCCAGCTAAACTAAGCTTCATAAGTGAAGAAAAATAAAGTCCTTCCCTATGAAACAAACATTAAGAGATTTCAACACCACTAAACTGACTCTACAAGGGATGCCCACAGGAGTTCTAAACATGAAAACAAAATGATGATACTCACTATCATAAAAGATCACATAAGTACAAACCTCATTTTTTTTTAAATTTAATTTTTTATTGAGACAGGGTCTGGCTCTGTCACCCAGGATGGAGTGCAGAGACATGATCATGACTCACTGCAGCCTCAACCTCCTGGGCTGAGGTGAATCCTCTGCCTTAGTCTCCTGAGTAGCTTACTCTACAGGCACATGCTATCATGCCCAGATAATTGTTTGATTTTTTTTTTTTTTTGTAGAAACAAGGTCTTGCTATGTTACCTAGGCTGGTTTGAACTCCTGGGATGAAGCAATCCTCCTTCCTCAGTCTTCCAAAGTGCTGGGATTGCAGCTATGACTCACCACACCCAGCAAGGTCCTATAAAACTACACATTTGAAATCCCAAGGGAGCTTGCTTACAACACTATGGCAGGAACAACATCTCACATATCAATACTAACCCTGAACATAAATGACCTAAACATCCCACTTCAAAGAGGCAAAATGGCAAACTGGACAAAAAAACATGATCCAACCATCTACTGCCTCCAAGGGACCTACCTACAGGCCAAAGACAGCCACAGACTCAAAGTTAATGGGTAGGAAAAGCAATAACATGCAACTGGAAAAAAACCCAACTGAGCAGGAGGGCTGGGTGCTTGTGGCTCATGTTTGTAATCCCAGCAATTTGAGAGGCTGAGGCAGGAGAATTGCTTGAGCCCAGGAGTTTCAGGCCAGTCTGGACAAGATAGCGAGACCTCATCTCCAAAAAAAAAAAAAAATTAGCGGGGCATGGTGATATACACCTGTAGTCTGAGTTACTTGGGAGCCCAAAGTGGAAGGACTGCCTGAGCCCAGTAGGTTGAGGCTGTGATAAGTCGTGATTATACCACTGCACTTTAGCTTAGGTGACACAGTGATAATCCCAACAACTACAACAAAAATTAACTCAAGATGAATTAAAGACTTAAATGTAAGACCTGAAACTATAAAAATCCTAGAAAAAAAAAAAAAAAACCTAGGAAACACACTTCAGGACACTGACTTAGGCAAAGAATTTATGACAAAGACTCCAAAAGCAATCGCAACCAAAACAAAAATAAACAAATGAAACTTAATTAAACTTAAAGGCTTATGCACAGCAAAAGAAATAACCAACAGCAGGAAAAGAAAACTTACAGGATTGGAGAAAATATTTGCAAATTATGTCTCAGTCATAGGGCTAATATCCAGAATCTACAAGGAACTCGAACAACTCAGCAGGAAAAAGACAAACAACCCTGTCAAAAAGTGGGCAAAGGACATGAATAGACAATTCTCAAAAGAAGACACAAATGGTCAACAAACATACGAAAAATGCTCAACATCAGTAATCATCAGATAAATGCAAATTAAGACCACAATGTGATATTGCCTTACAACTCTCAGAATGGCTGTTACTAAAAAGTCAAAGAACAACAGGTGTTGGAGTGGTTGTGGAGAAAAGGGAACACTTGTTCAAAATTTGAATGAAAAAAATTTTTTTGAGTTGAAGTCTCACTCTGTCACCCAGGCTGGAGTGCAGTGGAACACTAACGGCCACCGCAGCCTCAACCTGCTGGGCTCAGACGATCCTTCTGCCTCAGTCTTCCAAGTAGTTGAAACTACAGGCATGCACCACCACACCCGGATAATTTATTATTATTATTATTATTATTATTATTCTATTATAGAGACGAGGTCTCACCAAGTTGCCCAGGCTGGTCTCAAACCCCTGGACTCAGGCAATCCTCTTGCCTTAGCCTTCCAAAGAGCTGGGATTATAGGCTTGATCCACCACACCTGCCTTGAATGAAATTTTTTTTTTTTTTTTGAGTTGGAGTCTCGCTCTGTCACCCAGACTAGAGTGCAGTGGCCGCTCCCAGCCACCGCAGCCTCGACCTGCTGGGCTCCGGCGATCCTTCCGCCTCAGCCTTCCACGTAGTTGGAACTACAGGCGCGCACGACCACGCCTGGCTAATTTTTTGATTTATTGTAGAGATGAGGTCTCGCCAAGTTGCCCAGGCAGGTCTCGAACCTGCGGGCTCGGGCAATTCACTCACTTCAGCCTCCCAAAGTGCTGGGATTACATGCTGAGCCACCAAGCCCAGCTTTGAATGAAATTTTAAACTAGTTCAACTTCTATGGAAAACAGTATGGAGATTTCTCAAAGCACTAAAAATTGAATTACCATATGACCCAGCAATCCCTCTAGTAGGAATCTACCCAAAGGACAAGAAATCATTATATTAAAAGACATTTGTTTTGTATGTTCATTGCAGCACTATTTGCAATAGCAAGACCATGAAACCAACCTAAAAGCCCACCAATGATGGACTGGATAAAGAAAATGTGGCATGTATACACCATGGAAAAGTACATAGACATAAAAAAGAACAAAATCATGTCCTTGGATGAAGCAACATGGATGAAGCTGAGAAACATCATCCAAGTGAACTCAGAAACAGAAAACTGAAAACAGTATGTTCTTACATAATATGGAAACTACATGATCACAAAGATGGAAATAATAGACACTGGGGACACCAAAAAAGGAGGGATATAGGAAGCAGGGTAACGATTCAGAAAGTACCTGTTGATATTGTTCACTACCTGGGGAATGGGCCACCTGAGATCCAATCCCCACCACGACACTATATGTCCATATAACAAACATGCACTTGTATCCCCTGAACATAAAATAAAAAATAATAATAAATCAGCATCACTATGTACCCCATAAATATGTACAATTATTATATGTCAATGAATAAAGATAAATTTTAAAAAGAAAAAAGAAGAGTTCTGGACCAGGTAGCTTCACTGGTGAATTAAGTGATACTCAAACTCAAAAAAAACCTCAAAACCTCAAGATGGATTAAAGACTTAGATGTGTCAGGCGTGGTGGCTCAATCCTATAATCCTAGCATTTTGGGAGGCTGAGGTGAGATGACTGTCTAAGCTCAGGGGCTCGAGACCAGCCTGGGCAACTTAATGAGACCCCGTTTCTACAATGAAAAAAAAAAAAAAAAGCTGGACCTGACAGCTTGCACCTGTAATTCCAGCTACTTGGAGGGTTGAGGTGGAAGGATCACCTGAGCCCAGCAGGTGGAGGCTGTGGTGTCCACGAGCATCCCACTACACTCTAGCCTGGATAACAGAGTGAGACTCCAACTCAAAAAAAAAAAAAAAAAGACATAAATGTAAGACCTTTGGCAAGAGGGCATGAATGTTGTATAAATCATGGAGGGCTTTGAGTCCGAGAATGGCAAGACCAGCAAGAAAATCACCATTGTCAACTGTGCATTGATATGTCTAATAAACTTGACTTGTTTTATTTCTTAAACTACCAGACCATTCTTTCTGTATGTCAGGAGAGCTCCCCTCCATCCCATTTGCTTGCAATATCCTATAATCTTTGTGCTCTTGCTGCAATTCTTTGGGTTCCTTATTTTCCTTATTCCTTTCCACATCCAGTTGTATTACAGAAAAATAAAAACTAAATAACAAAAAAAAATAAATAAATATCACCTTCTTGGCAAGGTGGCTCAAGCCTGTAATCCGAGCAATTTGGTAGGTTGAGGCAGGAGGACTGCTTGAGCCCAGGAGTTCAAGACCTGACTATGCAACAAAGTGAGACCTCATCTCCACAAAAGATCAAAAAATTAGCTGAAGGTGGTGGCGTCTACTTGTAGTCTGAGCTACCCGGAGGTTGAGGCAGAAAGATCACCTTAGTCAAGGAGATTGAGGCTGTGGTGAGCTGTGAGACTTTGACTCAAAAAATAAGTTAAAAAAATAAAATTTAGAAATAAACTAAACCAAAGACGTGAAAGAAATGAAATGAAACGACAATACTTTCTTGAAAGAAGTTTTAAAGGACATAAATACATTTACAAATAAAATTAAGAAATTAAAGAAGACTTTAAATAGATGGAAAGACATTCTTTATTATTTATGGATTGGAAGACTTAATATTTCCTTTTACATTTTTTTGTCAAGTCTAGGTGAGCAATCCAGCAAAAGTCCAGCACATCAAGGCCTGGCTGAGCTTCCCTCCTTAGCAATGCTCTCTGCTGTGTCACACACTGAGCTGGGAAATGTAAGCACTGCCTATAGGAATCTACTGGGAGAGGGCAGCTGGAAGCCACTACCTAGTCTTTCAGGACTCTGTTCCATGTGGCTTTACTTTAGCTAATTTTCACTTATATTCTTCACTGTAATAAAACTTAACAGTGAGTATAACAGTTGTTCTAAGGCTGTGAAGCCTTCTAGCAAATCACTGACCCTGAAGGTGGTCTTGGAAGACCCTACACAGTCTCCCACCTCATTCAGAAACTGAAATGATTCGTAGCAGAAGCCTACTGTAAACCACCCAAAGAGTCAGGACTTACCTAGGGACACTGTAACCAACTTGGGAAGTCAGTAATGGGTCTCAGGGGGTGACTTGAGGGTAAGCTGTTTACTTTTGAGCATGAATATCTCAAGCAAAGTCAAATGGTAGGATAAGAATGAATGAGGCGGGGTGAGGGCTGACTTCAGCAGGTGATAAGGACCCAATGCAGCAAGGGCCTAATCAGGGAACCCAAGTTGTACTCAGAAACCAAGTGAGAGCCACTAGACTGGTTTACTGTACATCAGGACCCCAACTAGGGAATAGGTTGGGGGTTAATGGCCCCTCTAGCGGGGCACAGCGCATAGCTGGTAGGGGGCCGGTGAAACCAGGAAGGGAGAGACACCATAATCACTGGGCCGGGGCTGTCCAGCAGGCACTGAGAAGCTGAAGTGCTGCAGCAGGCAGGTAAAGAAGAGGAAGAGCTCCATGCGAACCAGCGGCTCCCCGAGGCATGCGCGCCGGCCTGTGGTGGGTGAGAGGGGCTTGGTGAACCTGGGTCCTGGGTTTCAGCCCTCCAAGTCTACCAGGAAGGTGGCAGAGAGCCGGGAACCACATAGGTACCTGCTGAGAAAGGCATGAAGGCCTCTTGTTTCACGAAGTGGCCCTGGGCATCCAGGAAGTGTTTGGGGTGAAAGCGGAAAGGTTTTTCCCAGATGGCCTCATCCTTCAACACTGATGACAGATTGACACAAAGCATGGTTCCCTGGGCAGGAGAAGCCTGGTGTCAGTGGGGACTGGCTCTAGGTTGCTGGAACCTCTGCCACCAAACACACAGGGGCACACCCTTTACCTGGCACATGCTAGAATCATTTAAGCAGCCTTTGGCTCAAGAAGCTTCTGGGCACCCTCTCTGACTTCTTGGAAGGGTTTAAGTAATACCTCTGATGGGGACCTCACCACCCCCATCCCTTAGTGCACTAATTTCTCCAACACTCTATAAGAGGTTCTGGTCTATCTGCTCTACTAAACTGGGGCTCTGCATAGAGAGACTGGCCCTGCTCTGCTCTGTGAACCATACGCAGTCTGGGACAGTTAGTGCCTGTGGAATCAAGGACTGGGTGGCCTGAGTCCGAGCTGTCCCCAGCTGTCAGCGGTCAGGCTGGGGCCACCAGCAGGCAGTGAGTGTTGAGCTGGGTGAGGAGGTCCCAAGGCCTACCTTGGGGATGAGGAAACCCTGCACTTCAGTGTCGCGAGAGGTCATGTGGGGCACGCCTAGGGGAACAATGTCCCCAAAGCGCTGCACCTCGTGAATCACAGCAGTGGTGAAGGGCATGTGGGCCTGGTCAGCCATCTCTGGTCGCCGCGCCTGCCCTATCACTTCGTCGATCTCCTGTTGGACACGGCCTGCACAGACAAGCACCCCGCAGTGGGTAGAACCCAGGGGGTGGGCACTAACCTTCTTCTGGCACCTGTGTTGGGGGTTGTGCCCACCTGAGGAGGAGGTCACTCTTATGGAAACCTGGCCTTCTAATGTCTCAACAACCCCAGGGACCCCTGCCTATAGGGTTCTTCCCAGGGCCTTCCCTTTTCCCGCCTTCATCCAGACCCCCAGCTGAACTCACACTGCACATCTGGGTGCAGGATCATGAGCAGGAGGGCCCAGCACAGCGTGATCGAGGTGGTCACCATCCCAGCAGCGAACAGGTCAAACACCACCAGGCACAGGTTATCAGCACTGAAGCTGCTCTCAGGATTCCCTTTGGCCTGAGCAAGGTAGAGAAGGTGGGCTTGGGGCAGAAGGAGGAAACCCCTGTACAACTTTCTATTTTGTACCTGTCAGCACTGTTGAGTCTCACTGGGTGATGTACTGGCCACACCTTGCCTCCTCCTCTCACTCCTCACTGGACCCTCAACTCACCAACCCTGGTCCAGTCCCTAGCGGTGGCCTCTCACCTTCTCCATCTCGTCCAGGAAAGCATCAGTCAGGTCTCGGGGAGGCAGGGCCGGGTCTCGGGTCATCCTATGCTCAGTTATCAGTTCACCCAGCTGTGCCAAGAAGGTCCTCCTACTATGTAAGACCCTGTCAGCCAGTCCCGGGATGTGCAGGAGCACTGGAACAAAATTCAGCACCTGCACAAGCCACAGAAGGGGGCCTGGGTCTCTCTCAGGTTCCAGGTTCACCTCAATCAGTCTCAGATCCCCGCCACCTCCAGGATGCACCTAGGACCTGCAAGTTCCAACCACTGACCTGGTTTCAACTAGTGCCAGCCTCCAAACTTGCTCATAGTCCCTGGGGTCTGGAAGAACCCAAAATTTGAACCTCCTGGGCTTGGGGGCCTTCAGCTGGACAGGAGACACAGGCCCCTTGACTCTATGTTGGAATTCACTAACCCAGGGTCCACCACTTCCATTACTGTTGGAGATTTCCCTCCTCCAGACCTTTCCTCTTGCAGTGGCCTCTCCTGGAATGTCCTTTCCCCAGACCCTTTGTAGAGACCCAAGTGCAGGCCCATGCACCGTCTGGACTCCCGCCTGCTCCTCCAATTCCCGCACCATGGCCAGGATGCTGCTCTCCTCCTTCAGATGGGACTCAACTAGGTTCAACATCCTGAGCAAGAGTGGGTCGTCGTACTCGAAGCGGCGTCCGATATTGAGAGAGGCGATCACGTTGCTCACCGCTCTGTCCAGAAGGGAGTTCGGGCTAAAGGGGTGGCCTGGGAGCAGGAGCTGCAGGTCAGGAGGCTCTCCTTCCTGTGTCCCCACCTTCCTCAGTTCCAGATTATGCCCCTCCGGGCATCACTCACCGGCGTGATCAGCAAAGGCAGCACAGAGGCAGGAAGCCTCCTCGGTCACCCACTGCTCCAGCGACTTCTTGCCCAGGCCGAAGTTGCGCAGGGTGGACACGGAGAAGCGCCGCTGCTCGCGCCACGCGGGCCCGTAGCGCGCATTGAAAATTCCTAGAGGCGGAGCGGTCACGTGGGCGTCTCCTGAGAGGCCCTGGCCCCGCCCCCTTGGCCCCTCCCCTTTGAAAACCGGCGCAGTCACAGTCCATTCAAGAATGTTTTCCTCCCATATGACCTCAGACACACCCTCTGTGCCTCAACTGTCCACTCCCTCTCTGAGAAGAGTCCCTGTCGGGTCCCCTCCCACTGTGCCTCCCGCCGAGCACAGGCCCACCGGACCCCGCGGTTTCCCTCCCACTCCGGGCCCAGGCCCCGCCCACTTCCCCCCCTCGCTCCGCCCTTAGGCTCCTTTCTGCACCCGCCCCCAGCCTTCCCCGACCTTTTCTTGCCCCTTCACGCCCAAGTCTCCGCTCTCGTTAGGGCCTGTCCTGCTTCCGGTCATTGCCCGTACAGGTCCCGCCGGGACGCTTGCCTTGGGAGCGCGGGCCGAAGCCCAGGTGATCAAAGAGGGGTGCAGGTACGCGGTCCGCAGTGTCCTCGCCGCGGGTCACCAGCGCCTCGCGCACGGCCGCCAGCCCGTTGAGCACGACCACCGGCGCCCAGCCCAGCTGCAGGCTGAACACGTCCCCGAAGCGGTGCCGCAGCTGGAGGAGGGACAGAACGAAAGTCAGGTTGTGGCTCCCACCAGGCTGCGGATCCCAGGCTCACCCGCAAGTCCCGGGAGACCACGGGGCTGCCAGTAGTGAGACTGCGCCAGGAGGAGACCTGTCCTCGTGATCCTGAGGGTGGGGAGGGGTCATTTTCTCAGTGGTTGAGGTATTTAGCTTGGATCTACCACCCAGCTATGACCTTGGATCACTGAAATGATCAGTTATGTCCCACTGAGCATCACGTTCTACAGATGAGAAAACTGATGTTCATAGAGGTGAGTGTGAGTCCTAAGGACCCACAGAGGCAAAATATTTGAGCCATATCACTGCACTTATCGCAGCCAACATTTCCTGATTTAAATGGTGCTCTGGACTCAACCCAAGACCTTCCGTTCCCAAGACCTTCCCTTCTGGAATAATCAGAAGGGACACTGGGTTTCCAGAATTATATGTCCAACTGGCTTGCAAGCCCAGTGCTAAGTCCCATTCCACCATCAGGCCTTTTCCTTCCCAAACTCTGGCCTTTGCAAAATCCAAACTGCACTTCAGGCTCTGCACACATGTCCTCCCTCAGGAATCCTCTGAATCCTGCTTCCTCTTTGGGGCCCAGCTCCTAGCCTAGTCTGTGGTTCACCCACCACCCACATCTGCTGCTTTTTGAGGTGTGGGGGAGTGTTCCCAGGACCTCTGCTGCAACAATCATCACCTCTCACCTGGCTCATGCAGTATGGTAGATTCCGTAAATCCATCTGCAGCAGGTTGCCCACACCGGGCAGTGGCATTGGGCCTGGTGGGTAGCGTGCAGCCCAGCGTTGACGCCTGTGCATCAGGTCCACCAGGAGCAGGAAGATGGCCACGGCGACAGCCAGGGGCGCCAGTGTATCCCCGGTCAGCAACGCCATGGCTGCCCTGCTACACACAGGGCCCTTTTTGGAACACGGCACACTCTACCTCACCAAGCACAGAGGACCAAGCAGGAAGCACCATACCCTCAGTGTTTGACTAGCCTTGCCTGTTTCCTTATAAGGTAGCTGACACTGGCCTTTGTCCTCTGCTGTGACTCAACTGCAGTGTTGACTGTGCTGCCAGAGGGTGCAGGGCCAGGACAGGGCTGGGGTGAGGCAGTTCCATAGTTCCTTGTCCCTGAAGCCAGCTCCAGGTGCTTACCAAGGTAAGGTGGTGAATGGGCCAAGCAGATGTCACTCTCTCTACCCGACTCCAACCTCCCAGCTCTGTATAGGCTTCTGGAATAACCATGGTCTGACCTGACTCGCCCTCACAGTTTCCCACACTAGCATGGTTGCCCATTATAGTTATCATCTCTACCCCCTAGGACATATCCTTGGCCTTCCCTTACCTCACCTGCTCTCCTGAGTGAACTTCACTCTGTTGTTTGACTTCTGCACTTGTCTGAGGCCTTAGGAAGGTCACAATGATCTGAGGGAACATTGGGCAAGTCCCTCATGCACACTGCATACTTGGTATGCTCAGGCACTCAGACACAGCTGATCACATACAGACATCTAGTACATTCCTGACCACTTCCCACATGCTCACACACCAACAGACACATGTAAACATCCACAAAGCCACCCACAGTCAGAAAACATACATATACACAGAAACATACAGAAGAAACAGAACTAATTCTGTAAGGTCTCCATTCCTAGTTAATTTTGGCCACTAAACTCTCTACTCAGCTAAGTGGTTAGCAAAAGACTGGACCAGAGATTTTTGAAATGCCTGGAACTGTAAATCTCCCAGTATTTGCCAAAGGGATCTATGTGTGTTTTGGGGCGTGACTTCAGCACTAGCCGGGCAGTGAGAACTTTACTTAGCCTTCAGGTCCTCTTTGAACAGGACCTCAGGTCAGTCAGAGGGAAGAGCTTAGGTCCTCTAGGTCTTCCTGATCATACACACAGCTGCACTCAGACCTCCTCAGAAGCATGGCCTGCTACGAACCCAGGGATGGATCAAACCTGGTCAATTGCCCCTATAGGCAACTCATTTCCCAGTTTCTGGGCTTGTGTATTATGTGCCCCAGATGTTATTCACTGTCTTAGGCAGCTTTGATTTTCAACAATGGCTCTAATTACTTTTAACAAATTCTCCTGAAGAAAATGCTATTCATATTAGGAGAGCTTAGGTCAACAGCGGATAGCCCTGCAAATGTCACACCGTGTTGTTGGGAGAATTAAACATTGCTGTATGTCTCCGGTAGAAAAGGACAATAGAAATTCTGTGCTGTGTATCATGTGGACTCTGTCCCATACAACATTTGCTTTTAATGACTTTCATCAGTGTCTTTTCAAAATAATAATCTATAAAAGTGGGTATAACAGCATTTCTGAATTCTGTGAGTCTTATAGCAAAGCACTGAGCTGAGGATGGTATTGGGGAGTTTTGACACAGATAGCTTCAGAAATGTTTTTCACTAGAATGACCCTGATTCTCTGAAATGTGGTGGAAAAAATTGGAATCTCTGAAATGTGGAAAAAAGTTTGGCATCTCTGAAATTTAAAAAAAAAGGTGAAGGGGGTGGAAGTTGGTAACGTTTTCATTCCTGAATAGCTACTGCATCAGTCATGGTGTGACACAGCACGTACTCTGTGATCAGTTGTCATAGTTAATAGTGACCTATGGAAATTAGAAATGGTAGAACAAGCCCCCAAGGAGTTAGTCGAGTAGATATATAAGGAAATGTAAAATAATAAGAAACAAGTTAAATATACAATCTCTTAGTTATTGTTATAAGTAATGAGTTACATTGTACCTAAAAGGGAGTGTTATGACAGATCTTACTCTATCATCAACTTGGAAGTCAATTTTTTTCAGTTATAGCTACTCATGTCAGGGATGTTTCCAGTGGGAAAATCATTTAGGACTATAAGTAGAGCCCTATCACCTCTAGACACCAAGAAGATAGTCCACATGGTGGTAGGAAAAAAAAAAAAGTACTGAAATCATGAGTTCTGGTGTGAAGGAGGTGTCTCTTTTGTCAGTCAGTATCATCAACTTCCCATACAGCCTTTACTAAAAGGCTGCATCCTTGCTTTTGAATGCTGGAGAAAGGGTGAGCAAGTCTAAGTTGCGGTAGAACCCACAGCTCACTATTGTACAGTGACAAGTTATTATTCATGGTCCAAAAGCACAGCATGTTACCTGAGGAGACAGCTAGTATGCAACGTTTCCAGTCAAGTTCAGTTAAATTGACAGAGTATTGTTCTCCCCCTCCTTTGAATGCCAAGAGGATCTTCCCAGATGAAGTGGCTGATTTGCCACACATGGATGGCACGCTGGATTGACTTTATGATTATCAGGATAGTCACCCACTTAATAAACCTCTACCCAGGTCATGAAAAAATACCGTGATTAAGTCCCTTTTGCATGAACACTGGATGGAAACTTGCTGCTGTTAAATTAAGGAGTAGCTGGAGAAGGATTAGGAAAGTTTTGTTCCAACTTCCTCTTATGGGTCTCACAGGGTTCTAAGAAAATAAGAATTCACAGGAGAATGAGTGAAGAACTCATTCTAACAGAGTCTATATCTGCAAATGCTTATTTAGAAATGGGATGCAAAATGCAGACACTAATGGAGTTAAAACAAAGGTCTTGAAGCAGCACCAACAGAGGCTTGCTGGACTGATGGGAGTCCCTGGTGGGACCCATCATTAAATGGCCCCAAATAATTCATCTCTTCACCAAATTGAAGGACTTTTGAATGGCAGAAGCAAAGATGACAATGAAAAGAAAGAAAGAGAGACGATTCAAGTTACTACAATCAGAAATGAGGGACATATAAGTACCAACTTCAAGGAAAGGAAAAGGGTTAGAAGAGAAGACATGGAACAACAATATGCCAACAAGTTGGACAGATCTGTAACAAGTAAGAAGACTGGATCAGACATCATAACCTCTCCAAGGAAGTGACATCACAAAGAATGGTGAAGCAGAAAGCTATACAGATGGGCCCCTCCACTGAAACTACCAGTGAACTGAAAAATAATGCCCAGAATCTGTTATTTCAGATGAGACATGAACCCTGATGAGACGTGATAGCAACCAAGCAAGTGCTGATTAAGAAAATTCTGCAGCAGTTCAGTGGGAGCACAGTACATGCAAACCACCTATCATCTCTGGTACATGTAGTGGGAATAGTCTGCTTTTGTGGAGGCTAGTTAGTAGTGTGGCATGTGGGGTTGGGTAGAGACCCTGCCCTCCACACATTTGAGGTTGAATGTCTTGGCAAGTCGGAGTGATCACTGCAGACATTTTCCTTGGTTTGGGTCCTCCAGGCTGTAGCAGTTACTCTCTGAAGCATGGGTTTTAGAGACAGTAACTTTTCTGCCTTTTATGAGTCAGACATTTAAGGAAATCTTTATAAAGTCACTGACCTCGGGGATAATGGATCAAAACATTTAGTGACCTCACAAACCAACATATATGCCCTTTCACAAAAAGCTTTAAAAAGGCACAAATGGACTGCTCTAGCACTCAACAAACAAAAACTGGTAATTCCTCAAGAGTGTGAGAATTTTGTTTTCAGAGTTGTCACAATAAAACACTCAGAATGCCCAGTTCTAAAAAAATAAATCAATAATTTTAAAAATAGGAAAGTATGGGTCATTCACAGGAAAAAGACTTACATACATGAGGTAACCCAGACACTGCAATACCTGGTGAAAAACACTAAACTTATTGTGTTAAATATGCTCAGTGTACTAAAGGAAACCATGGACTAAAAACTAAAGGAGATCAGGAAAACTATGTTGAAACAAAATGAGAATCTCAACAAAGAGACAAAAATTACATAAAGGTGTGAAACATCCCTTCTGGAGCTGAAAAGTACAATTACTGAAATGAAAAACTGACTAACTGGCTTCAACAAAAGTGCATTATTCTGCCCGATATTTTCTAGCAATATATTATACATTGGTGGCTTAAAAACAAAAATTGGTCTGGTCAGGGTAGCTCATGTCTGTAATCCCAGAATTTTGGGAGGCTGAAGCAGGAGGAGAAGTTTAGGTTAGGAGTTCAAGACCAGACTGACAACATAGCAAGACTCCTTCTCTACAAAAAAAAAATTTTTTTTTAAATTAGCTGAGTATTGTGCCACACACTTTCAGTTCAACTACTCAGGTGACTGAGGTGGGGAAATCACTTGAGCCCAGGAGTTTGAGAATTCAGTGGGCTATGATCATGCCACTGCACTCCAGTCTGAGTGACAGAGTGACAGCCTGTCTCAAATACTACTACTACTCCTAATAATAATAGTAATAATGTATTTTCTTACACTCTAGGAGGCTAAAAGTCCAGCTAAAGGTTCAATAGGATCAGATTCTGGTGAAAGTTGTTTGTGGTTATGTTTTCACACTGCAGAGGGAAAGAGAGAGAGAGAGAGTAAGAAGGAGACGTTGATCTCTGGTGTCTCCATATAAGACCAGTAATTCTTTTTGATAAGAGCCCCAACTTTATGTCCTCATTTAACCTTATTTACCACCATAAAGGCCCTATCTCAAAATACAGTTACATCGGGGGTTGGACTTCAACATATACATTTTGGGTGGTGGACCTGACCATTGAGTTTATTACATGCATATCTGAGCAGGCAGAAGAAAAGAAATAAGTGAACTTCAAGAGAATACACTGAAATCACACAGACTAAGATGCAAAATGAAAAAAGAATGAGGACCAGGCTCAGTGGCTCAGCCTATAATCACAGCACTTTAGGAGGTTGAGGTGAGTGGATTGCCAGAGCCGGCAGGTTCGAGACCAGCACGGGTAACTTGGTGAGACCTCATCTCTACAATAAAAAATTAAAAGAAAAAGATACAAGTCCTTTTAAAAAGCAAAACTTATCAAATAAAATTAAAAAAAAGAAAAAAGAATGAGGAATAATAAT